TTCCATATCTTAAATTATGAATGGGATTATTATCAGCTTATTGTGTTTTCCGAAGCGCTTAATTTTTTCTTTGATGGAAGTTATGATTGTTTTATGAAGCTTGTGTTAATTTTAGTCATCAAGGCATGCTTATTGTTTATAAATTAAGAATGTAGTATGTAATTATTGAGAAGTATGCTGCTATTACTTGGTGAACTTCATGTTCTTCTTCTTCTTCCGACATCATTCAACTTATTAAACATCACATTTTCCTTTGGAGTGCTAGTCATGAGCATTCTGACCAGGCTAAGTCTAGCCTTAAACTGTTTCAGGGACATATGATTCCAAGATCTTTCTAGAGAGTCTTAAGCCTACCATTCTAACCTGGAACAAACATATGCACAGATTGCAGCTCAATAGTGAACGATGGCAGGTAAGTGAATCTGTAGTAATGATATTGAATATTTATTTTGCGGTGGTTAAAGTAATGGTTGTAGTTTGAATTATTGTTATTCAAAGTACCTTATGTTCTGCAAATAACATACTTTGGGGATAAATTACAGATGTTTATTTTTTTGATTTTATAAATTGGTGTAGGATGGAGGATGCTGATTCTTTTCTTGGAAAGAGGAAAGTGAGATTCAAGCAAAAACTACATAATTGGGCTTCGGGGAGGTCAAAAGGCAGAAATGGCTAGCTGCTCTGATCAAGTTTGATTAGTTAAGTTGTTTCCAACTATTATTATGATTAGTCTATTATTATTGTAGTTGTAATAGTTTGGAAATCTGATTCCTTTTAGCTTTGGGTTCTTGTTGCCTATATATAGCCTATCCGTTGGAATAAAAAGATTATCTTTAATCTTTATGGAAACTAATAGATCTAGATCACAATTCCGCATACTTTAACAGCATTCGACAAATATAATCTAGATCACAATTCATTAACTTCAATTATTCAAACTCATATGTCAAACTCATATGTCAAACTGATTTTTAAGACAACAAAAAAACTTTGAACAAACCAATTGAAACCATGAGTCACTGAAGGGGAATTTTTTTAAGGATTACTGTGTTGGAATAAATCCGATAATACTTTAATCTTCATATTGAAATTATCTGGAGAATTAACTGAGCGGAAAGCGTACCTGACTCCATGGGAGATGGCCTTTAGAGATCCGGGAGACGGAGGCTAGGGTTTGTGTCTTCTAGTTGATACACACCCTCGGGATTATCTCTCTAGCGATGGGATGCAGAAAGACAGAATGGCGTGTACAACTAGGGACCATAACCCTTTATTTATAGAGAGTGCTTAACCCTAATCAGCCCATCATTGATTAGGTCAAGCCCATGGGTCTCTACACATTTGGGCCCTATACCTTATTAGATAACTTATTAGCCCACTTAAATTAATATTCATAGGACCACTAGTTTTTGGGCCTAAATATAAGATAGCATATAACATACAATTAAACCCGATAAATAATATACTGTGAATATTACATGTAGTATAAGTCCAATAATCTAACAATCTCCCACTTGGACGACATACACATGTATACACAATCCTTAGAATTGTATGTTTACTTTAGGAGCTCCAAAATTTTGCTATCAAACTGTAGTCATCTTTAATCAATCCGGTTCATTAATTATATCAACATAGGATCAAAGAAGTCTTTGCTATATTTGAATAACTAGACCCATCAATGATCACATATATTAATATAATAAACGACATGGATCAAGTATAGGTGTGTAGCGTGGAAATAACATATAGTGTGGTCTGGAATGGAATGTCTATTTCCAACTGGTCCACCCTGAGATCAATAATATAACTGTAAGAGTACATAAAACTTTAAACTTTATTTCTGCAGAAAATAACATTAAAACTTGAGTTAACCAAACATAGAAACATTACAAACTCCCACTAAAACTCATAATCCTCAACTGATTTGACACCCATTTGAGCAACATGCTCATGAAACAATTTGGGTGGTAATCCTTTAGTGAGCGGATCCGCAATCATGGAGTTTGTGCTAATGTGCTCTATAGATAACTTTCCTTCTTGTACTCGTTCCTTAACAGCCTTAAATTTGACCCCAATGTGTTTTGCCTTGGTCAAACTACTATTGTTCTTAGCATAGAGGACTGCTGATCTATTGTCACACAATAGCTTAAGTGGTCTTTCAATGCTATCCACTATGCGTAGTCCACTAACAAAATCTCGCAGCCATAATGCCTGATTGGATGCCTCATAACATGCTATAAACTCTGCTTCCATGGTGGAAGTAGCTGTAAGAGTCTGCTTGATACTCCTCTAGGAGATAGCTCCTCCAGCTAGAATATAGATGTAGCCTGAAGTGGATCTCAAGCTATCTTGACATCCAGCAAAATCAGAGTCGGTATACCCAATGATCTCAAGCTGATCCGATCTCCGATATGTGAGCATATATTCCTTTGTTCTCTGTAAATACCGCATGACCCTTTTGGCTGCTTTCCGATGGTCCATTCCCGGATTGCTCAAATATCTGCCTAACATCCCAACAATGTATGCCAAATGAGGCCTTGTACAAACCTGGGCATACATCAAACTTCCTACAGCCGAAGCATAAGGAATGTTCCTCATTTCTTTAGATTCAAAACCATTCTTAGGGCACTGCATGAGACTAAACTTGTCTCCCTTAGAAACTGGGGTATCTCCTGGTTTGCAGTCTTGCATACCAAACCTTTTGAGAACCTTATCGATATAGCTCTTTTGTGAGAGTCCAAGAACGCCTTTGGAGCGATCTCGGTGAATTTGAATTCCTAATACAAAAGAAGCCTCACCAAGATCTTTCATTTCAAAATTCTTTGAAAGAAATCTCTTAGTTTCGTGTAATAAGCCTATATCGTTAGTAGCAAGCAGTATGTCATCAACATACAAGACCAGGAAAATATGCTTACTCCCACTGAACTTGTGGTATATACAATCATCACTGACATTTGGTTGAAAACCAAAAGATATAATGATTTTATGAAACTTGTGATACCACTGACGAGAAGCCTGTTTGAGCCCATAGATGGATTTCTTTAATTTGCAAACCATTTTCTTTGAATCCCCCGAAACAAAGTTTTCTGGTTGCTCCATATAGATTGATTCCTCAATGTCACCATTGAGAAATGCAGTTTTTACATCCATCTGATGAAGCTCAAGATCAAAATGTGCCACTAATGCCATTATTGTTCTAAAAGAGTCTTTCGAGGATACCGGAGAGAAAGTCTCTTTATAGTCAATTCCTTTCTTTTGAGTGTAGCCTTTAGCAACAAGACGAGCTTTAAACCTTGTAACATTGCCCTTTGAATCCCTCTTGATTTTAAATATCCATTTACAACCAATGGGTTTAATACCTTCAGGCAATGAGACTATCTCCCAAACGTCATAGTCACTCATAGACTTCATCTCATCTTTCATGGCATTAATCCATTCTTGAGAGTTAGAACTTTCCATGGCTTGACGGAAGTTGATTGGATCATCTTCCGCAAAACCAACATTTGATTCTTGTTCTTGGAGGAAGATAATTATTTCTTCCACCAATTCCCAATTTTCCTCATGTTCTAGGAGAAATACAATATAATCATCCGGAATTGCGCTTCTCCTCTCTCGAGTGGATCTCCTTAATGGCACCTCAGGTTCTTGAGGTTGTTGAGTTTGATCCTCATTAACAAATTCAGGTACTTGATTGGGGATGTTTTCGAGATTGTCATGAACTGGAGTTGTTTCTTGAACATCATTAGGAATAAACATATCTTGATCATGTTCAATGACAACTGAAGGAAGAGTAACATGTTCTTCCTCAAAGACAAAATCTCTAACCTTATCTCCCCACCCCCCAAACTCAATATCCTCAAAGAACCGGGCATTACCCGTCTCAAAAATAGTCCTGGTAGTGGGATCGTAAAATTTATACCCCCTTGACCTCTCAGAGTATCCTACAAAATAGCTACTAACTGTTCTTGAGTCCAGTTTCTTTTCATTTGGCCTATAAGGCCTTGCCTCAGCTGGACAACCCCAAACATGGAAATGATTTATACTGGGTTTCTTTCCAGTCCAAATTTCATAAGGGGTTTTAGTTGTAGCTTTAGTGGGAACTCTGTTAAGTATGTAAGCTGCAGTTTTCAGTGCCTCTCCCCAGAGTGAATCGGGTAAAGTAGTATGACAAATCATACTCCTAACCATGTCCTTCAATGTACGGTTTCGTCTCTCAGCAACACCATTCATGCTAGGAGTTCCTGGCATGGTGTACTGAGGAACAATTCCACACTCCTCTAGGTATTTAGCAAATGGCCCTGGACGTTGTTCACCGGAACCATCATATCTACCATAGTATTCACCACCACGGTCAGATCTAACGGTTTTTATTCTTTTGCCTAATTGATTTTCAACTTCGGCCTTATAAGATTTGAACACGTCTATTGATTGAGACTTTTCATGAATGAGATAAAGGTAACCATAACGAGAGTAATCATCTATGAATGTGATAAAATATGTTTGGCCATTTCTACATGGTGTAGGGAATGGTCCACAAATGTCCGTATATATCAATTCTAATAGATCTGAAGCTCTCTCGGCACCTAACCTCCGTTTGTTCGTTTGTTTTCCCTTAACGCACTCAACACAAATATCAGAATTTGAGGAGTCAAGAGAATCAAGAATTCCATCTGACACAAGTCTCTGAATTCTTTCTTTAGAAATATGTCCTAGACGCTTGTGCCAAAGTGAAAATGAATTCTCATTGGTTAATTTTCTTTTAGTACCACGAGTACTTACATGCAAGGTTTCATTATATGAGGTATTTATATCAAGTGAATATAGATTATCATAAACTGATAAAAGACCAGTACCAATAAGTTTTGAATCTTGAAATAGACTGAACTGACTATTTCCAAATGAACAAGAATAACCAAATTTGTCCAATGCAGAAATAGAAATTAAATTCCGCCTAAATGACGACACAACAAATGTCTCTTTCAAATCCAAATAAAAACCAGTCTTTAATAATAATCTAAAAACACCGATAGTCTCAACTTCAACCCGCTTGCCATCACCGACATAGATGTATCTTTCACCATCAATTGGTTTTCGGCAGCTCAGGCAACCCTGCATAGATACACTTATGTGAGTAGTAGCACCGGAATCTACCCACCAAGTGTCTTTTGGTACCGAAATTAAATTAACCTCAGAACAAACAAGAGCAAGAGACATACCCTTTTTCGCACGCCAAGCATGGTACTTAGTGCAGTTCTTTTTCTTGTGATTAGTCCCTTTGCAAAAGAAGCATCCAGATTCCTTAGTTTCTTCCTTAGTTTCCTTGTGATGCTTCCTGGGAGGCCCCGAATTTGCAGCTTCCTTAATTTTTCTTTTATTGCTGCCCTTAGAGGTAGATGCCAAATGAGCACTTTCTGTCTTATCTTGCTTTATTCTCTCTTCCTCTTGAACACAATGAGAAATGAGCTCATTGAGAGACCATTTCTCCTTAATGCAGTTGTAACTGACTTTAAATTGATTAAATTGAGAAGGAAGAGAGATCAAAACTAAATGCACAAGCAATTCCTCAGGTAAAACAAGCTTTAGTGCACTTAGTTTTGAAGCAATATGAGACATTTCCAAAATGTACTCCCTTATGTTCCCTTTGCCTTTATACTTCATGGAAACAAGAGTGCTCAAAAGAGTACTAGTTTCCGCCTTTTCGTTTTTAGCAAAACGCTTTTCAAGTTCGGCAAGGAATGATTTGGCATCGGCCTCATCAGACATTGTGCCCCTGAATGATTCTGGAATTGCACGTTTCATGATCATTTGACTCATGCGGTTTGAGCGTTCCCACCTCTCCATCTCCCTCTTTTCATCGAGGGTAGATGTGTCCTTAAGAGCGGCGGGTTTCTCAGTCCGAAGTGCAAGGTCTAGATCCATGCAACCGAGAACGATCATAACATTCTCTTTCCATTCCTTAAAATTCGTGTCGTTAAGCACTGGGATGCTATTAATATTAGCAGATATTGTAGCAGCAGAATTGTTGACTGAAAGAGAACAAAAATAATATAAATGATATGCTCTAGGAACTGAAATTAATTTGATAATTAATTTTAAATTTAAATATTAGCAATCCCCATCACAAGATACCTAACGTAACATCTAATCTTGTCTTTGGACATAAATTAGACTTGCAAGTGGTACTCTTGGCGTAATAATAAAATTTTGATAATAAAATCATGTCAAATACTAAGCCTTTCTTTGGACCGACTTAATATTCACACGAAAAACTTCATAATCATCACAAATTTTATTATCACAAATGTACTTAAATTTCGGCCAAATAATAACCTTCCTTTGGGCTGATTATTATCCGCATGAAATAAGAAAGTACACAATCATCTTAATATATGAGTTAATTAATTTCAACAAGAGAGGCTACTTTGGCAGCATGTTGTATCAATTAACTAACTCAAATATTAGACATGCTAATATTAACTCGAAAATCTGAAAAAATAAAATTGGGCGAATTTTTCTGAATCACATGCAAATGTGTTATGTATAACGATAATTTGTAAAAGCCATTCCCAATCGCTGTGTCATCGCAAAATAGGGTTTATTCATCCCATAACACACAATACACATTTTTTTTCAAACCGTAAATAATCGTCCGATTACCATCAAAACCGATAATAATCACATATGTTTATGAAGTACTACGTATTAGATAATCGTCCAATTACAACTTAGATCCTTTTTTTTAATCCACTAATCCAAATTTGAATGATATGATCTTAATTACCTTAAAGACATACGTAATAACAGTGTTAATGAAAAGAAATAGTATTAAGGTCCCAAGGTGTTTGATCAATACATGCTTATAAAATTCTAAAGCAGATTGAATCTCATCATTCCAAATTAACCAATCGACAATGGTAAAATTAACCAAAATACAAAAGAAAGTAATCGGAAGCATTTCGTATTGTAATGATCTTAATTGCACTACGATCTAAAAACTCAGCAACATAGGAAAGGGAAAAAACAAATCGCAGCATTCCGTATTGAAAAAAAATACAGATCTTCCAACGAGTGCCGATCGATTCACAAATCACAAAAATAAAACTGACTCCAAATAAATCAATATGAAGGAGGCTCTGATACAAAAAAACTTTGAACAAACCAATTGAAACCATGAGTCACTGAAGGGGAATTTTTTTAAGGATTACTGTGTTGGAATAAATCTGATAATACTTTAATCTTCATATTGAAATTATCTGGAGAATTAACTGAGCGGAAAGCGTACCTGACTCCATGGGAGATGGCCTTTAGAGATCCGGGAGACGGAGGCTAGGGTTTGTGTCTTCTAGTTGATACACACCCTCGGGATTATCTCTCTAGCGATGGGATGCAGAAAGACAGAATGGCGTGTACAACTAGGGACCATAACCTTTTATTTATAGAGAGTGCTTAACTCTAATCAGCCCATCATTGATTAGGTCAAGCCTATGGGTCTCTACACATTTGGACCCTATACCTTATTAGATAACTTATTAGCCCACTTAAATTAATATTCATAGGACCACTAATTTTTGGGCCTAAATATAAGATAGCATATAACATACAATTAAACCCGATAAATAATATACTGTGAATATTACATGTAGTATAAGTCCAATAATCTAACATACTGTAGTACTTAATCTTCATAAAGTCATATATCTGGCCATTTTGTTGGTAGCTGGCTGCAAACAAAAACAAGAAGCTCATATTATAGATTGTTCTGCAAATTCAAGACTTGCTTGACTAAAATGAATATTTTAGAAATGATAAAAATTTTAAAGCAACAAAAATGTAAAAATAAAAGAGAAGCTTACGGGAGCGTAGATGGGATTTGGTCTGAGCGACCGGCCAGCAAAAGCTCACCGATAAGGTTAGCAGATGCGGAGGAGGCGATTGAATGGTAAAGCCGAGAGAGACAGCCGATTATCCGATTGAATTGCAGATGACTTTCTTTCTCACCTTCTTCCTTCCGCTGCGGAAATAAGGAAATAAGGCAAGAGTAAATAAGGCAGGACGGAATTACAATATCACATACCTTAGGGATCACTTCAGCAAAATTGGAATTTTTTCAATGAAGAAATGACATGGAATATATATCAAATAATTTTATGACATGTGTTGAATGCACTTATGCATCCTACAATCTAAGTGCACGGAAGAGTTCTCCTTTATTCAATTGGGTGGAGCGAAAGTAAAAATGTGTACGTTACTTGACTTTCCTTTAATTTCTCCCATTTATTAGGATCATTAACAACCTTAACATTCTATCTTAAAAAAACTACTCCGTATTAAAAAGTAGATGATAAATATAGTATGCACACACCCCTAACCCATCTGCTCCATGACATATGTTTCTTGAACACATGTCACATACACATTATCTCTACATGAGGGTTGATTGACATTTTACAATGATGTGGCTCAAGTTATCACTTTCACAGATATCATGAAGAACTTCTATTCCTGTTAAAAGAAACACATAGGAAATGCAAAGATAAATTACTAACTCTAAGCAACTTTTTAAATTATTCTGAATAGATATTAGCATGATTTTGAATAGAAATCTAATTAATATTTTCATACCCCTATCACTTCAGAAATGTTGGGCTTGCAATAAAACAAGCTTGCAATTTACAACCTACAAATTTACCGCTGTCACTAAACGTAGATGATGTATTAGTTTATAAAAGTATTAAAGGCTTATGAATACCTGACCAGATTTCAGATTCAAAAACAACTCAAATTGGAGTGGACTAGGAATACACTGACTGATTAAACTCCAGAAACTCCCAAACTCCGTTTTAAACTCTTGTTTGGGACTAGACTAAATTTTTAGAGATATTACCCAAAATAGGACTAAAACAGTTTGAAAATTCCAAAATAAGATTGACATGTTTTTATTCCCAAAATAGGACTAATTACTGTCATATTTAGAAAATATTGTCATGTTTGAAGTCAAGTACTACCAAAACATGGCAGTAATTGGTCATATTTTGGGAATAAAAAACATGACGGTCGGTAACAGGATGATTTGCTAATCGCAGCCTACACTATTTATATGCACGTACCGAATCCTGTAAAAGCTAAACATGGAGCATGCATTAAATGCTATATAAGGGAGTGAAACATCAACCTTGATTGCCTTGAAAATAACCAATCCGTGCTTATACCGTGACACCGGTGCATGGTGAGCACCATGCATCCTTTGTTATTTTTTATTTCTCATTTTCTTAAAATTGTTAATATTTTTTTTATTTTTGATCTGATTTTTATAAAATCTATATCAAAATTTTTTATTTTTCATGATCTTTCAAATGAGACCAATATTGCCGATGTAATTTTAATTTTTTAAATCAATACATTTTTTGTAATATATTTTTATATGCATACACTTTTTCTATAATATATTTTTTTTATCACTTTTATATGTTTTAGAGGTTTTTAAGATATTGCGTTTGTTTATTTTACTTCTAGCTTGGAGTTACATTTGATAATATACGAAGTTACATCATCTTATACTCCAGTTACAAGTTATTATGTGTGAGATACATCTTGTTATGTGTGAGTTACATCTTGCTATACACGAGTTACATACTTTTATGCGAGAGTTACATGTAATTATGTGTGAGTTACATCTTGTTATGTGTGAGTTACATCTTGTTATACACGAGTTACATACTTTTATGTGCGAGTTACATTTAATTATGTGTGAGTTATATCTAATTATGTGCTACTTTCGAAATAAAAAATGAGGTATGACATCAAAAGGTGTTAAGAAGAGGCTTAAAATGAAAATAAATTTTCTTGAATGCATATCACTTAGAATTTCAACCTTTTATAATGAGCCTCCTCCTATTACAAAAAAGTTACAAACTCATGGATTGATCATTGATGCAATGTAGATTCAGCAAGAGTATGCCATTTATCATCAATATTAACATACTGTTTGACGTGTCTAATAAAAGTGCATCGAAATTAAAATGCATCGATATCAACATTGAAAATACTTTCGAAGAAACCTTATCTGATGCACTTTTTGAAATTAAAGTGCATCGATCAGATAATGTTTATTTGAAAAGGGCATTAGATGGTGTTATTGTGCATGACAGTTTGAACGATTGAAATTAATTCTTATTCTACCCATTAGGGCCTTTTTTATTTAATCCAAACTATACACACACACACACACACACACACACACATATATATATATATATATATATGTGTGTGTGTGTGTGTGTGTGTGTGTAGGGTAGGGAGCGGTTCCGGTAAGAACAAATCTTAGGAGAAAAATGAGAACGAATCTCGACCGTTGGATTGTATTATGTGGAACCAAATTGAGCATTTGGTGAAACTAAAATGTGCATTAAATGATATTGAAATGTGCAAAATAAAAATTTAAACTCAAGTGTGCATTAGATGAAACTAATATGTGCGAAAAAAAGTTCAAAAAATAACATCACATTGACTTTTTATCTTGCACATTTCAGCTTCACCTAGTGCACATTTCAATTTCACGTAATGTACAATTCAACTGCACATAATGCCACTCTATTGCATCCTTTGTGATGCACATTTCAATTTCACCTAATGCACATTACAGTTTCATCTAATGCACATTGAATTTCACTTGAAGCAAATCTAACGGTCTAGATTCGTTCTCATTTCTCTCATAAGATCGTGTTCTTATTTGAACCAAAACACACACACACACACACACACATATATATATATATATATATATATATATATATATATATATGAATATATATATATATATATATATATATGAATATGAAGATCACTTCTACATATATGAATATGAATATCACTTCTACATATGAATATTACCTATCCTCAATTTTGTCCACATTTAAGATGCTTTAATTGGAATGTAATTTACTGATTTGGTTTGATCTAGTTTGCATTTATTAAGTCTTATCTAATCTGGTCTTGTTGGAGCTGTTTGTCTGATCTAGTAGATATCTGTTTTGTGTGTATTTAAAAAATGTTGAAGTTTAATCTATTTAGGCTTGATATGACCTGGTCTGAGACTGAAACCAATCCAATTCAAAATATATTTTGAGTCCGTTTGGTGACCTTGTTTTAGGCTCATCAGTTTTATCATCAAACTTTTTCGTCAAATGTGATCCGTTTGATTTCACACGCTAAGTTATGTAATAATCAAAATAATAAGGTTGAATTTACTTTTCTAGCTCATTTGAGTGAAGTTGGTGTAGAGCATCATTTTTCCTATTTTTTCATATAATTCATA